TCTGCACTTCAACATCCACAAAGTCCTGCACCTGCCACGAAATGTGCGTTGCAAGGTCCACAAAGTACTGCGCCTGCCACGAAACACTACGACTACCACTACGATACTGCTGCTGTTAGTCCGGTTGCTACTCTTACTGCTACTGCTAGTTGGATTTTTTGATTCATTCAATATTTTTTTTGATGCGTGTGGAATATTTTTTTATTGATGCGTTAATTATTTTTTTTTGATCTCTCACCCGCGAGAAGAGCTCAGGATGACGACAGGTGGACCAGAAGCTGAAGTTGTGCAAGTGAGCAGATCATTGAAGGAGCGCATGAGGTTGTTGGAGATTGAGGCACAAACGTTCCCGCCAGCAATTCCTCAGTTGAGCCAGTGTCGCAGAACGTGGTCATACCTTTACCATCTGGTGAAGATGTTCCAAGAGGATGACCCAAGGTCCTACATGGCAGCTTCCATTGTTTTTCACAAGTGGTGTGAAGCTGGCCGGACCCATGAGTTTTTCGAAGAGAACGCGACAGAAGCTGGTGGCGAGGCCAATTTGGCCATGAATTCAGAATGTGAAGTTGAAGAAGAAGGAAGTGCAACAGATGGAGTTGCAGAGAGGCTCGAGGAGAGTGAAGATCCGGAGCCTGCATTCAGAGAAATCTGATAGAGGACAGTGAGTTCGATGGCCCGTGGGATCCACCCCCTGAGAGCGAAACCATCAGGATTGCCGTGCCGAAAAGACGACCTAGAGATGAGACCGGCGAAGGCAACGATGGCTAGCAGATTTGCATGTTTTTGCAGAAAGGACTAAAGAAAGTCATTTCTGAGGCAGGGTGTGAAAGATGAGCACATGTTCACGAGCACCCTCGAACACTCCGCTGTATAGTGGCTCGAAGTTGTGAAAAGGCGCGTCGCCGCTTTTTGTGAGTTCCCCTCCCTCAACTCAAGTCAAAGCCGAGATGACCAACCAAATGTACAGCAAATGATGAAATCATGCCCTGTACAATCGATCTCACGGATCAACCTTCACATAAACCACACCATTTGACCCTGGAAAAGGCTTCCATCGCATCGTTGGCTTTGGAAAGCAAGCTAGAGACAGAGTTGGCGCAGTTTGGGCCAACCGGCAAGAAGTGCCGGGGAGAGGAGGTTGGAAACCAAAACTCAGTGACCGTTGGACTTTGGTTTTCTGCGGAAAACGGCCCCACAACTGAGGAAGAGATCGAGGTCTCGGCGGAAGCAAGTGCGCGCGCCGCGGCCGATCTGCAAGAAGACCAGCGCGTGGATTTTCTGAATGCCGCCGAGAGCGATAGCGACAGCGCGGCGATAGACGAGGATGACGAGGAAGAGAGACCAGGCCTGATAAAGACATTGGTCGCATCCGGTGCACCTCTTTGATCCCTTTGGCACTGTGAATGATTTGCTTGCTACCTCATTGGGGCCCGAAGGAGTAAGGTTGCAGGGGTGCAAAAACAAACAACACAGGCGTTTTGACTTTTGACTGTTAACTTGAGGTGCTGCAAGGGATGCTATTTCTGAAGAATCTAAGACGTCATTGGCATGCTGTGCTTTGGGACGCCTCGATTCATCCAAGCCTTGCCACTCTCAGGCAGCACACCCACTGCTCCAAAGCAGCGCCACCTCGTCCGAGAGCTGCCTCCTGGCGCACCGAACGCACAAAGTGCCTGCGAGGAGGTGCTTCATGCAGTGGCCTCGGCTGGAGAAGGCTGGGGTGGAGACAAACTAATTCGTAGTAGGCCTTTGTGTTTTCGCTTGTGTTTCTTGTTTTTTTGTGGCTTCGAGGCTTCGAGGTTCCGTGTGTGCCCGAAATGCATGAAACATCATGAAACAAATGCACCGGGAAGATTAACATGGAACCTGAAAACATACCTTTGGAAACTTTGGAAGCACATTTTCCTCCACAAACCGGTGATTTTAAGGTTCCATGTGGGCCTGTTCCAGGACATGCTGTATAATGTCAACGCGGTCATTAGGCCGTTTGACGCAGTGTGAGGCGCAGTGCCGCCTCTTCCAGGCGGTAGCTCCTTCGGGCCGCGCTTCAAAAATCTCTCCAAGCAGCCTGGCCACCTCACCGACCCTTAAGACAGACCGCTCAAAAAATCATTCAGAAACGATTGTATAGCTGGTTGGTTCAGATTTTGTTTGTTTTCTGCTGTGGTTTTGCGATCCTGTCAAGTTGTCAATGAGTGTGATTGTTCCCGATGTCAGGTCGGAGTTGCAAGCTGCGCGGCAGAAATGGCAGTTGCACACCCTAGCAGGTGAACTGTCGGCTTGATGTGTGGTGTGGGATTCAACACGATCGACATGAAGCTCACTCACATTCTGCTCTCTCTGTACTTCAGAAGTCATATGAAGGGACATGAGACATACATGCACCCACTGCCATGTTGCAGATAGCTTTCCACAGTGTTTGCCATCTCACTGTCATATCCTCATTTGGTGACGGGCCGTGACGGGTGCTGTGCTGTCCAGGTGTCGAAACCAGCAGTTCTGAGCAGAACCGCCGGGCCGCTGAGGACGCACTGCTGGGCTGCTGAGGGGATGTACTCTCCTGCAGTGGGCCGCAATCTAGTAATTACCATTCTCGGGCTGCTGGCTGGAGCTCCTTCAAACTTCAATCGCATCAAACTACACGAACAGCTTGTTTCTGGCACCTTTGGTGGGACAGTCGCCGCGCATCTTTTTCATAGTTAAGGTGTAGAAAAGAAACTCCGCGTGAAGACGAATTCCTTCACTCGAGGAGCTTTTCGCAGCGCTCCGAAGACGGGCAAAGTCTCCGTGCTCCGCTGACACTTCCATGACGGCAGCGGACGCTGCAGTGGCTGCAGCTCCAAAGCCGGTGTTCCGGAAGCGGTCCAGTGCCACTTTGGTGACAAGTGGAGGAAGTAGTACTGTGCAGTAAACAGTTTCTCTTTTTGGGTTGGATGTGCACCTTGTCTTTTAAAAATGGCGTGTGTTGCCAGCCCAGCTTGAGGTGCCAGAGGAGAGTTCACGGACCTCCGCGCGGCCAGATGCGTTCACAACGCCAGGCCTTGGTTTTGGAAGTGCCAGGCAGTGTCAGATGTCAAAGTTGAGTGTGTATTTTAATATGGAGATCCCCTGGCCCCATGTGAAGAGCAACTGTACTCGCTCACGCTCTTTTTCCACTTGAGCCAATGCAACGAGTGCATACCCGATTGACCTCTGGTTTCTGGTGTCGGGTGACTGTCAGTAAATGGATCTGTGGATCTTGTGATATACAGGATGATCCGTCCATTCCTCTCCAAAAGCACTGCCAAAAATAGCTTCAAATGCTACAGCGTGGCCTTTGGTTCACTAATCTTTACATATGGAGAACTGTCGAGCTCGGCCCTGACAGAGTACTTATGGTGTACTGATTCCCAGCAACAAGTCTTCAGCATACACTAGAAGCGTACACTGCAAGATGTCATGTAGCACGGATGGAGCTTCACACCCCCCCATGCTGAATGGCTGTTGCTTAAAAGACTTCTCTTCCACAGCTCATCGGAACATCTAAATCTGCATTCCAATGATCGAAAACAATCAAGGAACTAGGACCGGAATACTGTGGATCTCAACAAAAACTTTGAAACACTCTGTATTCTTTCCAGCTTTGAATCTCAGCCATGAATCTCAGCCGCGTGGCTTCGACTCATAGCAATTCGCACACACTCGATATTTCACCAAGGTGTCCGATTGCCGAAAAGCGCAGTATGGACCAATGTGCAAGAATCGCTCTTGTGAACCTTCTCGTGGAAAATCGCCATACAGCTGGCGTCCAGATTCCACAAGATCAAAATTGATACACTCGCAGGTCTTGTACTCAAGAAATCGGCTTCGACGAACATCGGCTCGTGCCAAATGATGGCACGTGGAGAAATGCACCACTTCCCTTCTGCTAAAGGTGGTCATCACAGTTCCTGCTGAATTTCGACGTGGTGCAACAATCCCATGAGCATCAACACTGGATCCGGTATCATTTTGTGGACCTCTAGGTGGATCAGTTGAACTCACTCCCGCAACATTGTCCAATCTCTCTGGATGGTCTGGAGATTGATCTGCTGTACGTACATCATCTGCTAAGAGATGAAGCAAATCATCTTCTGCAACATAGGGTTCACCCAGGTTCCGAGCTTCTCTTGCAGAGGTACCCGAATCCGGAGTGTCGGACATGGCTAAGCAAAAGATGAAGATTGGTTCAACTTAGTTGAATCAAAAAAATATGTGCTTGCAAGCTAAAAAGTGATACATTTTGGATATCCATCTTTAAACACGTGAGATCTCATTAAAATCTTCATGAAGTTCCTGGCAAACCTTAGTGCGAAACGATAAGGATATAAACCAAGACTCTTCGAATCCTGATGATTCAGGGGCGCATGCTTGAAACATTTACACACCGGCATCTTCTTGTTGGCCAACTCATCATGACTGCTCATGATCCTATACTCGTGCTTCGCTCGAACCTCTTCTGTCGAGAACGCACATCTCGCTACCACGATCTCATGCTTCAGACCTTGACGTTCCACAAACAACTCAATCTCTTGCTCTTTCCAGTACCTACAACTCTTCGAAAGCTCTAGCGCCCTGACATGCCCCTCTTGGAAAATTGACTCAACATCATGGAGAATTGGGACAAACTCGGGCCAATGGCGTTCATAGAGACTCTTTCCATTCGAGCAGAGCTGCAACATAGGACTTCCACCAGTACACGGTGGTGATCCCCAAGCAAGGATGGTTACTAAATTCCCGATCTGCTGCATCCAATCACAAGTCATCTTACACACATGTGACAAAGGGGTATCCAAGGTGATTGAAACAACTCTCAACTTAGGAAACTTGTTTTCAATCTGGGTAAAACCGGCTCTGCCACTAGTACAAACATCCACTATCACGTGTGTGCATTGACCCATATGGATGGCTGATGCAATCTGTATCAACCTCTTTCGGAACGACTGAAGACATCGTGTAGCCGCCTCTACGGGCAACGCCTCGATGGGCAACACCTCTGTGGGCAACACCTCTCTGGGCAACACCTCTCTGGGCAACACCTCTAAGGGCAACACCTCTAAGGGCAATTTGTACGGGCACGAACTTCTTCGCGAAGTCCAGCTCTAGCTTGCTAGCCAGCTCAGAGCCCACCTGATCATCGTCAGGCACGTCCGATTCCGAATCGAACATCACCGTCCTCTCACGGGACACATCCGCCTGAACCTCATGTTCGGCACGTTCACCTCGTGAACCACTCGATCCCTCTGGATCCGAAACCCTAGGTTTCCGTTTCGAAGCTTGCTTCGAACACTCTAACTGCCAACCCTCTGGTGGGTCAACATCTACAATCCCTAAATTCTCTGCATGCCGAAAATGCGCTTCCTTGGGAAGGATTTTGGTGCAAAGATCTGCAACACAATCTGCTGTACCTACCCAGTTCAAGATAACAACACCGTTGTTGACCAACTCCTGTACATAGCAAACCGACAACGACAAGTGACGGACTTTTCTGCTCAATCCATCATTCTTCATGACTGCTAGACACGATTCCGAATCGCTCAACACATGAATTGGCTGGTAGTCCAAACTGCTACTTCCAACCACATCGAACTCCCAATTTGCTTTGGTGTTCACCATTTCTTCCAAGTCATGAACTCTGTCGAATCTGCTCACAAACTCAACAAGGTGTCGAATCCCTATGGCTTCTTTTACCATTGCACACAAGGAGATGACTTCTGCTTCGCATGATGACAAAGTCACACATCCCTGAACTCGTGAAACTGCCTTCAGCAGGCATCCATGCCAATAGATGGCTCCCCCGGTGGTGGATTTCCGCTTTTCCATGTCATTTGGACCCCAAGAAGCATCCGAAACAACTAGGAGCCCTTCCTGATTTGGACAAGTCACTGCCATGACGTACTCAGTCGGAAACACATGCCATGAGTGACAAATTGCACGAACAAAACGAAGGTATTTCCTCAAAGCATTTTCATGATGCTGGTTTGGCTCTCCTTGGCCAATCGCCAAGAGACTGATGAATCTCCCTTGGTCTGGTCTCGACTGGCCCCACAAGGCAACACGTCCCAGTATCCTTCGATAACGTTGTGCTCCTTCAGGACTCAACTTCTCAACCTCATCAGGTTTCTTACTGATCTTGCCTAAGTCGATCAGGAGATCTGGCGGAATGGTGGTTGGCTTCACATCGAACTCCTGGAAAACCGTCTCAAGATACGATGGATGAACTCTCACTTGGATGTTGGACGAAAATGGCAATCTACGAACAACCCTTCCAAGAAACGTAATGGAACCTCCCTCGGTCTTCGAGTTACCGATCACTCCTGTGGATTTCACCTTCAACTTAGAACCCAAGGTATCCTTGATTTCTTGGATTCCTTCTTTGCTAGAGGCCCCAATCAGTAAATCATCCACGTAGATCAGGATGACTCCAAAAGCTCTACTCTCTTTCAACTGTCCGCACAGGATGGTGGGTTCAGATGGCGAACTGATCAAACCAATCTCCTTCAACTCATTGGAACAAGTCAAAAACCAAGCTTTTGCTGCTGATCGAAGGCCGTTCATTGCCTTACGCAAGTCCAAAAATGCAGGTTGTCATGGAGAGGTCTGTCGGTAATCGCACCACTGCCGTGACTCCTGGAGGTAAGTCGGAATGCAAAAAGGCTGTACTGATATCCAACGACTCACACACCAAATCCCAAACAGAGATCAAGGTCAACACGATCCTGAAGCTCTCTAGAGAAGGTGTGCTAGATGAAATACCTAGCCTCATTGCCGACGGCTCAAGCCTAGCAATCTGCTGAGCAACACATCGTGCTCTGCAAATCAACTCCCCTTTGGATTCTTTCTCTGTTAGAACCCATCTGCATGGAATGGCCTGAGTGCCTCGAGAAGCGCACAATGCAAGGGCTTCCTCCTCTCCCAAAACATCGCCTACATTTAGATCATGCATGGCTGTCAACTCTGTTTCCCGACCTTTGATGGCCTGTTCAACAGTGAAATTGGTCATACCATCTTCTGACACTGCTTGCGATGGTTCGATCAAAAAGATGTCTGTCCCACACAATGAAAACTTCGACGCACGAACTCCATCTAAGTCCTGTCCTTTCGGCACAAAGATTGGAAACAGAATGCCGTGACTTGCACCTGAATGCTCTGGCGGTGGACAAAGAAACATTCCAATATCCATGTCATCTGGCTCTGGGTCAACTGCCATATCCTCTGGAGGCTCAGTTGGTTCATATTCTGAGTCAGCTCGAAGTGGCGGAAATGGTGCTGGTTCCATTTCGACGTCGATCACGCGATTGGGCTCGGGCTCGTCTTCCCCATCCCGATCCATCCGAACATCTTCTTCTGGCAAAATCACTGGGGGTGGTACACTAGGCAGAGAAGGTGTCTCAGGTGGCTGTACAGCCACTGCTGGAGGCTGAAGCGAACCAGGCGGACGCTTACTCTCATACCTAAGACCTTTGGTTGGATGATCTGGGGAGGAAACAGGTATTGATGGTCGAAATGGCTTCGCATCTGGAGGAACTACCATCTTCGGAACTGAACCATCTTTTGGTTTGGCTTCCAATTCAGCTCGACTGGATTTCTTGGCCGCTTCAGGCTTTCCCTCAAACTTCTCTTGTTGTGCTTTAACCCAGTCAGTATATCGACGAAAGCATCCTCTGCTATGTGTATGTCCTTTCCTAGTACCCTTGGTTCGAATAGCATCACATGCTTTACAGTCCTTAGTCAAACCTTCTGACCTCAACCAAGCGATCGGAGGTGGCAACAACTTTGTCCGATCATACACAGGCACGTGCATATGAACAGGATCTTGCAAATCCTTGACGTCCAGCTCTCCGGCAGGTGCATCATCATCTGTCGCCTTTGCGAGAATGTCAGGACAATACGAACACTCCCAACAAATCTTGTTCAGAGGACGAACTTCAGTCTTGAACTGTTTGACTGTTCCATCTTTGCATTTCACTGACACTTCATGTGCAAAGCTACCGAATGCAATATGCATGTATGCACCCAAAACAAATCTGGAACCTTCTTCCACTAGTCCTTCCATGTGATCACTCACTTTTGCAAACACGATTGCTCCGAACATGGTGGATGTGGGCAATGTGCAGTCTCTTTGAATGACCAACTGGATTGGCGATCGACGATTTCCGAAATCACTGCCAATGCCAAAGTGGTTGTGTGTTTGGGCTACATAACATGTCACTGCTCGGTATGCCTCTTTGGTCTCTTTCAAGACAAATCCGTGACTCCGCAAATCTGCTTGCAAACAACTGATCATCTCTTTGAAACGACGAACTGTCCTCTCACAATGTCCTACCGTTTGGTGACTTTGTGGCGCCGCTTCATTTATGTGAAGGGGAACAGGAAGGTTGGCTCGTTTCAAAATCGAAGCAACTGCTTTCTCGGCATTTGTTCTGACCTCTACCGCAAGATGTGCTTCCGATGGTGACATAACCAACAATCCCAACTGGTTGAAAAATGCACGAATGTCCGTGTTTGTCTCACCGGCACATAAGGCACAACCAATCAATCCAGTCATCACTTCTGACAAAGCTAGGAACTTGTAATCCCCAATGAAAAAGAAATCAGCCTGTACCAACAATGAACTGCGACTTTCTTTGCTTCTAGGATGTCTCATGACAGATCTGGATAGCTTGCAATCCATGCATCTGGCATCGAATGGTGTGTGTCCTCGCAGTCGATGGAGAACAAGCTCTTCTTCCTCGCGTTTCTTCAACAGCTTCAAATCGGATGGGAACTCTGGGGGGGTTTTCTCAACTTTGGACAATTCCTCATCTTCGAAGTCTGCTGGAATGGGGTGATCTTCCATGTCTTCCTCATGGGGAGGGTACTCTTCTTCCAAAGCTTTGAAAAATTCCTCTTCACCTCACAAAACACTTGCATGCATCTTTGGTTTCTGCTTCAATGCACTAGGCAAATACTTGATAGCGATCGAATCGGTCGGCGAGGTAAGACTGCTAGACAGCTTGTCAACATGCATGGTATCTTGCGAACCTTCTGAATCTACTTCCATGTCCGCAGGCATGCCAACTGCTTTGCTTCTGAGACTAGCATGAAGCCATGGTACACCGGACCAAACATTGCAAATCAATTGTTTTCGTTCATCTAGGATGATGAATGTTCCATCTCCACTCATCTCGAACTTAGCTCCCTTTCCCACAAGTTGCGTCACGGAAAGGAGATTATGCTGCACCGGTGCCACGACACATCGAAGCTCATAGCGCAAAGTCTTGCACTTCTCATACTCCGTCTGGAAATCAACCTGAGTTCGGAAGTAAACTTCGATGAACACTTCTCTCGAAACATGGATGGCATCACCACTCGCTGTCTGGAACGAAAGTGGGTTGTCAAGACATCGTTCGCGAATGATGCGATATGCACTTAATGCATCTGAACTCACAACAGTTCGCGAAGCTCCCGAATCAACAAGCCAATACCCTGCTTCGATCGGAGTTTCCGTGGCCGACGAAAAGAATGGATGGAAACACTCTTGTCCGAAATACCGATACCGATGACACAAATGCATCATGAGACATGTCAGAAACAATGACAGGACGGCGAACATGCAACGAAACCATCGTCCAAACAATGTGCTCGACTTCTTCTCTTTTAGTTCAACCTTGGCACATGTCTGAGTTTCTACAACCAACGTTGCGAGACGACCTCCTTCATCTGCTTCTGACCATGCATCATCATCTTCATATGCGTCATACGAGGCATCTGATTCGGAAAACTCTGCTGCTCGCTTACCTTTCTTACCCTTGGATTTGTCTTTTCCTTTATCTTTGCCTTTTCCTTTGCCTTTGCTCTTGCCATCAATCGACTTCTGCAATCTCTGGGGGCAATCTTTGGAAAGGTGGCCTGTTTTTCCACATTCAAAGCACGAACGGGTCTCAGTCTTCTCGGTCTGGTGCTCATTATTCTTGCTCTTACCTTTACCTTTGCTTTTGCCTTTGTCACCTTTGCCTTTACCTTTCTCCTTGAACGGTGCAATGGGCTTGTGGTTCAATTCAGACCATGCTCTCTGCTGTGCTTCGTATCTCAGAGCTGCATCTGAGTATGCCTGAAAGCTTTCCTGCACAACATTGAGAACAAACCATTGACGACAAGCATCTGGCAACGATCGAAGAAGAATCAAAATCTGGTCAGCTTCCATGATTTCCAGTTGTTGACTGTTCACACTTGGATCAACCAATTGCTGAATGCGTGCAAACTTAAACAACTCATGCTGGATCTGTCGAACGGTCTCGGGGATGGTGGCACACTTGAAAGTTCCACTGGTGATTCGATTGCGAAAGAACAACAATTCTGTCCTGGTCTTGATTCCAAACTCTCGTGAAAGCAAACGAACTCCTTCATAGCCACAACAGTTCATTCGGTTTTGTGACGATTCATAGTTTCCCAAAATCAAGCTTGCCCTAGCATGACCGGAAAACACTTGCTTCAAAATCGAAAGTAACCGAGTGGACCTGGTAATCTGTGCTGCGTTCATCTGATTCCAGGTAATCACTGATGGACTTCGAAGGGACCAAAGGATCTCTCGTGGCCATTCATTGTCTCCTAATCCAGCCCATGAAGCTAGCTCTTGGATGTAGCTAATGAACCCCTCTACTTCTTCTGGTCGTGTGGTCCATTTGTCATGTTGGGGAACTGGATAAGCTGGCATCCATTTCTCACTTCGTCGGAAAGGATTCAAGTCTTCCTTTCCTTTGTACACTTCAGCAGCATCTCGAAGTGCGGTTGGTGACTGCTGCATCCCTGGTGGAGGAAGATTGACATTTGCTGGGTCAGGATTATTGAAAGGCGTGTCTTGAACATTACGACGGAAATTCTGCCATGGATCCTGAACTTGCAATGGGTCAACATTCCTATCTCGTGGACTTCCGGAAGGTGGGATGGGCAATTGCAAACCATCTGGTGAAGGAACCATTGGTGCTGGTGGTCCTGATTCAAGCGCATCATACACAGGTGGTGGCGTATTCACACGTGTGGTCAATGCTTCTACTGCAGGTACAAACGAACCAATAGCATTTTGCAAGGATCTAGCCATGGTAGCTAAACTGGACACTTGCTGTTCCAAACCTTGGAAACGCTCAGCGCTAACTGATGTCCCAGTTTCAACTGCAGGAGATCCTGGATCTTGTAAAGATGCCATGGCTCCGCTACCATGAAGAGCAACTGTACTCGCTCACGCTCTTTTTCCACTTGAACCAATGCAACGAGTGCATACCCGATTGACCTCTGGTTTCTGGTGTCGGGTGACTGTCAGTAAATGGATCTGTGGATCTTGTGATATACAGGATGATCCGTCCATTCCTCTCCAAAAGCACTGCCAAAAATAGCTTCAAATGCTACAGCGTGGCCTTTGGTTCACTAATCTTTACATATGGAGAACTGTCGAGCTCGGCCCTGACAGAGTACTTATGGTGTACTGATTCCCAGCAACAAGTCTTCAGCATACACTAGAAGCGTACACTGCAAGATGTCATGTAGCACGGATGGAGCTTCACACCATGGGTTTTGATCTAAAATTTTCCTTCCTCCAGGGTGTCTTTGGGGATCTTAATGCACACCAAGCAGTTCTTGGAACTGAAAAGAACGCTCCGTGACACTAGGCACTCGCATCCTTGAGGAATGTGTGGCTGGCCGAGGCCAAGGTTTTTGTGCTATTTTGAGTTCCAAGGGAGAATGGAACCACTTGAAGATTCCAGATTCTCGGTGTACTGTTTGGGCGTTTTTTTTGCAAATCGGGTTTTTGAGAAGAACTAGTAGCAAGAAGCTACTAGGGGCTCCTGGCATCGCTACTACTGCTAGGTACAAGAAGCTACTAGTGACAAGAAGCTACTATCTACCTGCTCACAGAGCTTCCAATCCCCGAGCCCGGTGCTGCCTGTCACTCACCTTGCCAGGCACCCGTCGCAAGGCTGACCCTACGGCCGTTCCGCCGGCCGTGGAACGGGCTGCGTCGAAGCGCCGCAAGGGAGCCACTTGGCCAGACAGAGATGAGGGATGACTTGCGACTTGCACCATTTTCGGCGTTTCAGTGCCTCGCGGAATGAACCGAGGGATGGGTTTGAGATTTCCCGGAAGCCTTACGCCCCTGACCTTTGGTGCTGTGCATCCTGTGTGGTGTGGTCGCAGCTCCTCGTGCCAGGTCTGCATTGCTGATCAGGAATGATGGCGAGCAGATGATGGCCCCAGTGAAAAAGAACGAACGGTTTCAGCGCAGCATGTTGATGCGTATCGGTGTGGCAACGGTGCCGTTTTGGTTGGACACCGTCCTTGGCAAGGCGAGCTTAGATTCTGCTTCCCCAGCTCCTTCCGTTGCTGTCGTTTTTGGCCTCCCTTTGACGATGGTCGCATGTCCAGCAGAAATGCACGAGACATTAGCTCTCACACGGAAAGAACACAAGTGGCCTCGTGCCCTCGTGGTCCCAGGTTTCAGGACATCATGTCACATGTGGAAAACGCTCGGAGCCCTTGGTCAGGACACGAAAGACAGGGCAGATCACATGGCAGGTACATGGCAACAGTCACACTTACCTACAGCAGTGGACCAGTCGTGGTGCTTCGGCAACTGCCATGGATGTTGGATGGCTTGGTGCCCCACATGTCGGTGCAAAGCCTCTGGCATTCCAAAGGTCGGCTTGTTGCCCAAGTTGTCACACAGCTGAGACGAGATGGATCGCTGGAGAAGGCTGGGTGCATGGTGCACTCCCATGGCACGAAAATGGCTTATGGTGTGACAACGTGTGAGTGGTTTTGGATATGTTTGACAAATGCCTGCTTGAGTGCGAATCAGACTCTTGTCGCAGTTGCCTTTGCGGTCGAGTTAATTGGAGAGCATTTGTTTTGGGCCTTCCGAATCAGCCTTGGCTGTCAAACAGGCGGCTCCAAGCCTGAACCAGGGCCCAGGAGAAGCTTTGGCTTTTTCCATTGCAAACCGGGCTGGTGCAGACAAGATGCCAAGAACGTGATCAAATGCACAAAACAAGGTTGCCGTCATTGATTTGTATCAACAATTCCATCCAAGTGATGGCTACTCACCTATTGACCTATTGTTAATTTGCTGTGTTCAGGACGGTTCTTCTCACTTTGGCAGCTGTGCGTTTGAGCCAAGTCTTTAGTATTCCCCAGATTTTCTCGAACGGATTTGGTTTTGAGACATCGAATCGAACGTTTTGGCCTCAGGTCAAAGGCTCCGGAAGCGGCCCGGCTCCAAGCAGCTCATTTCGCGAGGGGGGCAGTGACTCATGCGGTGAAATGGGTGCTGAGTGGTGCTTTGCAGCTCTGGCACGTCCTTCCGGCCTTAATTGGGGCAATTCCGGTCGACGAGCCATGCTGGCTCAGAAATGACATGTGAGGGGTCAACGCTCCGCAATGGAGGAGCTGGACTTTGAATTGCTATTTGCAAAGGTGGAGGGTCATCCACAGACTGGAGGTGAGCGCAGCCAAATGGGGCATTGTTTCGTTTTAAGAAGTGAATTCGAAACAAACGCTGGTTGACCAGACAGCAGAACAGCGCCTGTGGGCTTGCTTTTAAGCATGGAGATTGAACACCTTTAATGTCAGGATGGCGTGAGTCTCCAAGAAACATCGGGGAGTCTTCCACCTTTGGATGGAAACTGTTGCCACTGAAACTGTTGCCCACCAACCAGTGGCGTTGGAAGCAGAGAGGTTCCAATCTAGGTCCAACGCATGGTGATGCGAACGCATTTGTTCAGTGTGATCCGTCTGCACTTTGAGACGGACTCGGCAGGCAAGGCTCGGCGTCACCCTCCCACGGGCTGGTCCTCTGCCAAGGCTTCATCAGCCTACTCCCGCATGCTTGGCGACCATGCGGCATTTCCGAGTGCTGGAGGTGTGCATGGTTCACCCACCGGTCGTGACCGCTTCGGCCAATGCAATGGGAGGCGGGTGTTCAAGCAGCTAGGTAAGCTAAGCAACGGCATGCATGAGGGTTCTTTTGCGTGAGTGCACCACAACAGCCGAAGTTGCATACTGAGAAAATTACACTGCAATGCTGTCCATAATCTGACTCCTGAGATCTCCTTTATTGTTCGAAGTATATAGCGTTTGGCCAACTTAGAAATACAATCAGAGTGCGTTCTTTTTTGAGATAGGTGCGAAATTATTCACTAGAATGGCAAGAAGGCGAATTAATGGCACCGTGCAACCAGTTCATTCTGCAAGGTTAGCTTTTGTGATAGACCGACTTGAAGCGCGGGTGCTGCGTGCTGGCCCACCTCCGAAGAAAGGGTCCAAACCACCAGCGCCAACTTTGCACCTCTACGACTTGGAGGTTCGGGGTGGATGGTTTAAATGTTTATGTTATTTCTCAGCCGGATATGGAAGAGTGTTGGACCCAGATTGGAGCGTGACCCAATTTTATAACTCTCACGGTCTTGTGCTTGTCATGCCGAGTTCTGAACTTGGAATGACACATGAAGCACTGTGAGGACCCTGTCGAGCTGCCCGGTGAGCCGGAGGCCACAGAAGATGGACCTTCTGTTCCCTTCCGCCTCACCGAAGCAAAGCTCTGTCACCAGCCTGTTGGTGATCAGCCATATTTTGGACGGCTCAATCTCAAGGCACCAACCCCGTTTGCACGGTCCGTTGATGTTTTTTGCTTTTCGGAAAATCGGTCCGACGGTGGTCGATGGTGGTCGAGGTCACCAGCGTGACCACTACCACTGTCGCGCTCTTTGACTAGAGCAAGCAGATTGTGACGATGAGTTTGGCATAGTAAGGGCTGACATTTTCGAGGGTGTGCAGCCTTGCAAAGGCCATGAAATTTGTGCTTTGACGTCAAGGTGTGCATCAAGTCTTGAGGCATAAAGTCTTGCTAGAATATTGGTTGAACGGTTGAACCAGCTTGATCGTTTTGTGTTTAGCCTGACCCCTTGGACAGGCACCCGATCCCCATGTTTCACTAGGCGACTGGAGATGTTTCAAAGCATTCATTAAACAAACAGTATCCACTGCCATGACCAGTCGCAATTCTAAGATTCATAGAAGCAAGGCCAATCATGATCCAAATTGAACAAGATCTTCACGATGCAAAATGCTTGTCGTGATTAGCTCGCCTTCACAATGTGATGCCTTGGGTGGCGCTGGCTAATGCAGTCTTCGCGCCAGAAGTGTCGAACCTTGAGTTCTTCCGTCACAAAAAGTGGGGACAGGACTTGGAGGTCGCTCTTTCTTTTCAAGCAGCGCTGCGTGACCATCCTTGTGCAATCTTTTTGCAGCATTTTTGCGTGTTCTGTCCGAATGTTTGCAGCCAAACCTCATGAGCTTTCGAGCTAGGGTCTGCCAATGAGGTCGCTGCGTTCACAGTTGCATGTCAGACACTCAGATCTTTTGCAAGAAACGGCCCGCATTTTTTCGGATAACTGGATGCTGGATACTTAGGATGGCCAGGCCCATGCTGAACTAAGTTTTGGCTCATTTTCTCGCGACTTAGGGAATTTTCCACAGAGTGCCGCACCCATAGTGGCTGGAATACCTGTGCACGCCCTGCGTGACCTGCTGCCACCCAATGCTCAAATACTTCCAGTGTGGCCACCATCTAGAACGAGGCGGGGTAGGTTCCTGACGCGGCTCTACTCCACTAGACCATGAACTGCCACATCTCTTGAAGTGTTCTGGAGATTTTTGCATGGCCCAGGCGAACATGACATGCGAGACAAGTGCCGCTTCTCACAGGCTGAGACTTGGATTTTGAATTGCGAAGTGTGCGACGGATGTTTTTTGCAAGGCCTTTTTCAAGGCTGCCGACCCCCCCCCCCCCCCAGACACACACACACACACACTTAGATGGATGCTCGCAAGAGCTAAGTCGGTGATTGAAGTTCCACTTTACACGCATTAGCCCTTGACTTGATGGAACAGAAAGGTGCAGGAACCGAAAGGTGGCTGAGTCAGTGGATTTGAAAGTGTTTGAACAAAATGTTTCAGCGAGCTGAGCAACACTGGCACGACTGCAGAAAGCGATGGTTTGTGGGAGGTATCATGAGCAAAAGACCATGGAAACAAAAGACCGCAGAGGGTGGACCAGTGGAGTCATTGCGTTCGATGCAGGTACACTGTGGAGCGTCCTCCACCGCTTCAGCACCAACTGATACCCTCTTCGTTGGACGGGCAGTATCAGTGGTGACCCGTCCCCCTGCATGTGTTGAACGACCTAGTGAAAAAGTTAGAAAATGCTACAACCTTGGAGACAAGTGTTGACTGAACGGTTGGCTCTTCTTCATGTGTGTGCTGGCAGGCGGTAGCAAGCTACATATTACAAAGATGCTATACCGTAATGACACGAGCTGAACTTGAGGAGTTGAAGACTCCGTGAAGCAAGCATCTCCTTTTCTTTTGTTGGCCATTTCTGCCCAAGCCATGCCATGCCGCGCAAGTTAAAGGAGCGGAAGCAGGATGTGAAGCTTGTGGATAGGAATTTGCCAGGGCCAAGTGCACCCCAGGTCTTTGACTCCGATGCTGAAGTGGATGAGAAGGCCTGTAATGCTTGTGCTGCCGATGAAGGGCAAGGCGACGCAGGATATGTGCAAAATTCAGAGTTTGTCGAGAGGACTTGTGCCATGGAGCAGGCTTGCTTGGAAGAAGGCCTGCGCTCAAGGAGTGAGGTAGCCTCAGAGGCCTTTGGTCATGACAGCGTGCGCGATGCATATGAAGAGCTTGGTGCAGCTGGCTTCTATGCATCCAAGGGTGCCTCGTATGTCAATCCGCATGAGCCCCGTCTGTCAGAGGCCGGAGGGTGCCATTGATGAAGTCAATGCATAAAGTTGTAGGGGTCGGTAGGAGCCCGTAAGCTACCATTCCTTTTCGTGCGGCGTAGCCCACCAGACCTGGGTTGTGATTCCTAAAGAAAGAGGGTCAAGACTACACTGCAAAAAATAAGTATGAATTTTCCACATCAGTTGGACAGGCACAACTAATCCATTATTGCAACCTCATTTAGACGACATAAAGTGCAAGCCAGATAGTTTTCCCATCTCTAAAGTCTTTGGTGCAGATGATTCATGATCATGGTGTATATTGGTTTGCTGTTGTTTATGCTAGGGATTTCCGGGGCTTACGACAGATTGATATATGGCGCGAAATTTTGACAACAGGTCTTTCCCAGCCAAGCAGTTAAGCACCTCAGCCAAGCAGTGAAGCGATATGCGATATTTGCATTTTGCCCTGCCAGGCCCTTCATATTGCCTTAGATCAGTGGCAAGAGCACCTGTCTTCACCTCTCCGCGCTTTGGACCTAGCCTGCGGTAGTGGTGAAGCAACATTAGCATTGGAAGCGTGGCTTGAAAAGACCCAAACCGGTGCCATGGAGCCAGTGCTCGAGGCTGCAGATCCTTACACCTTCGAGGCGGGATCTGTCGGGATGCCAAGCATGGTGACAGGTTTTCAAGTACAATTACCCTGCGGCTTGAACATTGTGTGCACTGTATAGGATTGTATAAGCTGACAAGCCTGATAGGGCACACTGCTACTTGTGGTCTTTGTATGGGGCTGCAGGTGTGTTGTGTAGGTGTTATATCTGAACAGGGCACGCTCGCTCACTGTCCCGCTTTGTCCCGGACGGGCAGGCCTTCGAGCGCCGCGTCGGGCGAAGATGTCATCACTGGAGTTTTCAAGATGTGGCTGACGGTGTTTTGGAGGAGGAGATCAACCATTTTCCAATATTCCGCCTCAGGCAAACATTCCAGACAACAGGCATGAACAAAATCCGTGCACACCGGACATAGTCGTAGGTCAGTTGCAGAATAGGTGAATGTTCCTGGAAAGCCGGGAGACCACATACTGGTACCTTAAATGGTGACGTCAGCCAAGTTTGGCCTGCGTAGGTTGCTTGTTGAAAGCCTCGCGAGTCGACTTCCAGGTGGCAATCTACATATAATCATATAAGACTCCTGAATCTTGAGCATTCTATCCATATTGAGGGTCAGATCAGCAATGACAAATACTCCAGGAGCCCATCTACGACCTAGTGCTTTGCAGCTTTGCCCTGCATCTACTGGACACATGGCAGCCAATGTGCTTTTGGTCATGCTTGTGATGCTTTTTGGAGAGAATGACTAGAGTATGTACATGTATGTGCTACAGGTTGTAACGGTGCCCCAACAAGCGTTTGTGGCAGATTCCTGTTTGTTGGGTCTACCGGATGCATGGGAGGTGAGGGCTTTCACTCATGTGTTGCTGGATTTGCATGCACCATGACCTTGACTGTGTTGGAGTTGGTTGATTTAACATTGGCCTAGCAAGAGCAGTTGCAGAGCTTTCCCTTTGCTTGGTGTTTAGGCAGAAGATATATAGGTGTAGAATTCACCCGAGACTTGTGCATAGATCAGTTTTGCAGAGTTTTTTTGCGGCTCTGTATTTGTCAGACACATTGAAGAGAAGATGCTCAAAGAAAATCCAGAGAGAGAGAGAGAGGGAGAGGAGAGACGTTGAAGCACCTGGATGGACATTTGCTCGTGCTACATGGTCATTTTGTCACTACATGTGCCGGCGTACAAGGCCTTGAGCCACTACTTCCAAAACAGAAAAAGTTGAGATCAGCTCTATCGCACTGAGTGCCACACCCCCCCAACCTCAAAACACTGCCCAAACCTGCAAGGTCTTTTTTAAGGGACAGAAAGACAGAGACAGACAGACAGACGGACGGACGGACGGACGGACGGACGGATGGACAGAAAGAGAGACAGAGAGAGAGAGAGAGAGAGAGCGAGAGAGAGACACAGAGAGAGACACAGAGAGAGAGAGAGAGTGAGAGAGAGAGTGAGAGAGAGAGTGAGAGAGAGAGAGAGAGAGAGTGAGAGAGAGAGAGAGAGTGAGAGAGAGACACCCGGAAGGGTTCGAATCCCACAAGGGCCTACGGCTGGGTTTCGAATTCAGTGCAAAGAACATCAAGATGAGCACCGACGAAAAAGAGAGAGGGGGGTGGATTGTTTTTGCGAGGCCTGCGATACATGAAAATAGTGTGTGACATGCTTTGTTTGTGCACTAAGGTCACTTCCGCCGTGATTTGCGGGTTTGATTGTTGCATGTTTTTGACGTGGGGCATTGAACTTTCTTTCTTCCTCCTGTTTGCTGCAAGGAACGCTCATGGCTCACTTGTACTGTCAGCTCCCTTGCCCGCCGGGCACGGCTTTTGGTGGTGGCAACTCCTCACAAGCGTCCCCTCATCGAGAGAAAAACAGGTCTGGTTTGCCGTGTCTCAAGGCTGATTCATGTCTTAACTTGTCTCGTACTCGCAGCCAATTCGTTGGGACATCAAACATGGGCGTGCTGCACTGTATGTACATATACTGTATATATTATATATACTGCTAGGAACAAGAAGCTACTAGGCGTTTGGCTCAAATTGCCACTCGCTTCACGGACACCGGGGGCCCGCGGATCTTGCGACCTTCTGCGAAGAAGGCGTAGATCGTCCACAGAGGCAGGCCACAGCTTGACCTGCCACCCGACCTTGTGGCATTTTGAGCTTGAGCCTTTTCTTGCCTCGCGCCATGGACATTGTTGATGAGCTGATTGGGTCCCTGCACGACCCCCTTTGGGCTGCAAAGGCCAAGGGTGTTTTTGCAGGTCTACATGCCGGACCAGGTGTTCTTTGGGATGACGTAGCTATTCTGGCGGGAGTCTTCACTGGCTCCCTCTCTGATGCACTCATGATTGACCTTGGTCACTTTGCTCCAATGAAGGGATTCCTCATGGAACCTGCCGTCCCGTCGACGATTTCCATCCCTGGCCTTCAGGATAGGGCTCTTTCGTTCCACGTTGGTGATGAGATTATTTGCTGTGGACGGATCCAGCAACAGTCGACTACCTCGTGGAAGGCTGATAGCCAGGTTACACTCACAAAGCGACCTGTCTTTGAGGCTGCAGCGGCTTGGGATTTCTTGCATTTATTTTCGGGAGCTTTCAACGGCTGGGAGCAGGCGGTCAACCAGATCGCACAGCATGTTTGCACATTTCGCATAGGCGCCCAAGTTTGTGTTGATTTTGATGCCGAAGTCACTCAAATCTGGATTGAGCGCTATCGGAAACCGTCACATGTTGGTCCCTTGCTCCCCAGAAGAGCTTTCGAATTTCACCCGCATGCATTTGTCCACACGAAGATCTTTGACCACACTATCCTTCATTTGTTGGCACCTCAGGTGAACCTGTACCTCACTGCGTCACCGCCTTGCCAGCCGTGGTCACGTGGTGGCCGATCTGCAGGACTTGCATGCCCTGAAGGGTGGGCATTCGCTGATGCTATCAGAACAGCAATTGCAGGGCAACCGCACCTGCTGGCATTCGAGTGTGTTGACGAACTCGCATCCCACAGTCATTTTGCTTTGCTGGAGGCCATGCTCCAGTGGGGTGGTTACTCTTGTGCTTGGCAATGTGTTGTGCCTTTTCATCATTTGGCTCACGTTCACAGGTCAAGATGGTTAGGAGTTTGGATGCGCAATGATGTCTTTATGCATGCGGAGGGTCCACCTCTCCCGATTCGTGCCGAACGGTTGATTCCGTGGTCTGCGCAGCACTATAGATTCCAGGTACCGAAACCACTCAGAGACCAGCTGTGTTTGTCACAATCCGAGATGTGCATTTATGGCGATGTCAAGATGCTGCCACCTGCCAAGCGGAAAGGTATCCCTGCGGATGCTTCGATCCAGAGAGTTCTGCAAGTTCGACGTCAAGACCCATTCGATGCCTTGCCGACGCTGTGCACGTCCTACAGCAATCAACATAACTTAGCCAAGTCGCATTTGCTGGAGAAAGGCATTTTCGCGATGTTGGACAGTGATGGCAAAGATTTCTTTTTCGTCGATCCATTCGCCCATTGTGCCTTGTTGGGAGCCACAGAATCGGTGGTCGTGTCCTCCAAAATCGTGTTGGCCTTCAAACAAATAGGCAATGCCATTTCGGTACCGCAGGCCTTTCTCACCTTGTGTGTCGCTCTCAAAGCTATCTTGTCATGGGATGTCCCGGTCACGGACCTCGTCATGCGCTGCTGGGCCAGCCGGCTCACCAGCTTTTCGAGCTTTGTCATTCTGGGCGATCGGTTTGCCATCCTTTGCTCCGTTCAGGCCTTTATCAATGAGTTCACCATTGAAGCCTCAAGCGCACCTTTGGCCGAGGACTGTGTGGTTTGGCACATCACGCATCGCACCCTAGGCACCACGAAAGTGATTTACCTGCCGTCACGGTGGACTGTGTCACAAGTTTCTGGGATCTTCTCATGGCAATTCGATGTCCGCAGTCACATTTTTTGCTGCAACGAAGATTTCAAACATTGCCACAATTATTCTCTGAAGGACTTTGCTATCATTGTACACCAATGCCAGGTCTGCATTGACGGAAGGCCATTCCTTGATGTATGCATGAGGCACTATCAGGCAAAGAGCACCCCTCCGCTCCATACTGAGCCAACCACCAAGATCTGTGCCATCTCGCCCACGTTGCTTTCGAGCATGCCTGTGTCTTCCCCGGGACAGGCTGTGAACCCATGCCATTTAGAGTTCGATGCCATTGCCTCCACTGAGGCCTTTCGACTTTCCCTCACCGAGACCGAAGAATGCCTCTCAGGTGGCCTTGGAATGCCAGCTGTCTTCGCCTTTCGCACGCCTGCCATGTCTTTCACAGGCCTGGTATCTGATGCGTCGCTCAGTGTTCCCTCTGCTGATGGGCCTGAACCTTTGAGCAAAAAGCTGCGCCTGACTGTCTCTAAGGTGCAGGAACCAAGCACCTGTGCCTTCTTCCTTGCTCCCAAGGAAGACAGTGATGACAAGCCTTGGTTTGGCTTCATTCGTGCAAACGGTGCCATCGGTGCCGCGTGCTTGACACGCCAACCTGTTTGTTCAAATCAGCTTCATATTGGATTGTGCGCTTTCACCATTGAGTGCTGCAATAGTGCGAAGTGGCTTGAAGATTCACGGATTTGCCATGGAGATGTCCTCACTCTCTCCTACCAAGGTCCCACCCATGCCGGAGGCCATCACGCTGGCGGACCACATGTGCTTGCTCCAGGAGCAACCTTCGAAGCCAGATGTGAATTTGCGGTTAACACCACTGGGTGGCTTGCCGAGGATGAAATGGCCTTTTGGACTCAGCACATTCAATGGACTGCACCAGGGTATGCCTTCTTCTCCTTGCCTGTTCACTGGGATGATGAAAATGGTGACTTCGATTTCGGGCTGCAAGCCGAGTTTGCAATTCCTAATAACCGACTCACTGTCATCCCGATCCTTCTCAGATCGCATTGGTGTGCAGTTGAGGTCAATCGCGCCAGCCACCTTGTCACTGTTGTTGTGCTTGGCTTTCCCGGCCCATATTTCCAATTGGATTCTTGAGTATCCCCGCCAGACCATGCACCAGACATGCTTCTGCCCTCCAGCCAGATGGTGCTCCGTCTCCGCTGCCTTCATCTACTTTCAAGGCCTTACACCGGACTTCCGTCATCACACTAGTGTGACTTGGTTCCTGATTGTCGATGGCACTTGGGTTCAGCTTGACTTGTCGGTTGGAGATGCGTGGGCCACTGTTGGCGCTACAGGATAGAAAATGCTTTTCTGCTACGGTCCTCCGCAGATTTTTGGCTACATCCCGGCCTTCATCGGCCACATTGCCAACCTCATCGGCCTTCCTGCTGAAGAAATCCAAGGGGTACCTGTTCCGTTCCAAACGCCTCCTGGCATGTGTGGTTGGTCGCTGATTCATGGATTTTTCCAACGCATGCAGCTTGTGCTCCCTGACACACCTCATGCTTTCTTGGATATCCTTGCTTCCTCTCGCCACCGAGAGTTGATTCGCACCATCAAGGGCACCGACTTCGCTTTCTGGGAAAACTCTGGGGCGGATGAGGCCACGATTGACTTCGCATACGATGTCCGCAATGGATTTTTATGCCGCATTCTTGAGGGTCGAACCACTGAGGCCTTTGATGCTGCAGGGGGCGTTGATGATGCTGCTGCCATGCCTGAGCCTCTCGCCACACCTGGTGTCTCTGTGAAGACCAACGTCGCTCAGGATCCGTGGGCTGCTGGTGACCCGTGGGCCAAAAAGCCCAAGCGCCTCTTTTCCACAAAATGGGAAGATCTTTTGTTGCCAGACAAACACCCTGTGCTGGATGCTAAGGGCAATATGCTTGATCAGACCCACAAATTGCAAATGAGTGCCAGGAAAGCTGGGGCTGTCTTAGCAACCAAATCCAGCATCCAGGATTTGATTCGTTCAGCCCCCACTGCACCCGCAGTTGTCATCCTTCCCAATGCTGAAAAGCAAACCTTCGGTGACCTTGCTCCCAAGCTCATGGGACCTTTCGAGCTCATTCTCAAAGATCCTGCTCTGGGGTCGGAATACAAACGACTGGTGCTCCTGTTGCCCTTGCAGGGTACTATCACGTACAGCCTTCCGAAACCGTCTGTTTCGCTCACTGCCACTGAGGTCACCGAAATCGTTGCTGAGGTTGACACTCGCTTGCTTTCTCCCCAGGACCTGGAGTTGGTCAAAGCTGCACCAATGGATTTCATTCGCCGCAATGTTTTCGCCTTGCACCAGGACCTAAAGGACTCCCTTGCCTTTTACGCCATGCGTGTTTGCAAGCATCCGACCGCAGAGAAACATGAAGTGCAGTGGCAATGCATTATCAAATCGCCCATGAAGCAGCGGCCTGCTATCCTGGCTTCGAGTGGTGCGCAAGCGGTTCTCCTTCGAGATTACCTAGATAAGCAGCACAGCCACGATGATCTTTCCGTGGTTCCGAAGTTCTGGCCGCCGACTGTCCGCGATTTGGCGGAAATCCGAATAGTCATTCAGAACACCACAGGTTTCGCTGGCATCGCGCTTACGCGCAGAGGACTAGCTGTCCGTGCGTGGCACGACAACATCGCAAGCATTCGTAGAGCTGTTTTGCCCACCGACCCTCGTTTGACGAAGGAAAACATGCATATTGCGCCGAGATTTCCCTTCAATTCCAGCGGTTGGCCCCCTGCCATTGAACCTTGCTTTGTGGTATCCTCGGCCCTCCAAGCGACGAGCCATGCCCCTGTGCCTACACGCGCCTTCCGCACAGGCGGTGTTTACAGCTGGAGCCTTGCGTTCGACAAGAAGCCTTCAGTGCTTCGATTCACCCTTGACATCAATGGCAGCACATTCGAGATTCTCTTAGTTGAGGAGAGCTTGTCCCAGCAGCCGAAGGTCAACAAGC